CGGGGATTGAACTCAGGTCCTTGCGCTTGCCATGGAAGCACTTATTCCACTGAGCCATATCCCCGGCCCCCAAAATTAATATTCATAAGACATTGCAGTGATTATCTGTTCCTTGAAACTCAGCTAGTAACTAGACAGATCTACATCTCAATACATTGTAATTAACTATATTAACTTTTAAAATACTGTTTAGGATAGAAGTCAGTTTTTATAACACAGCAATCAGTGGTTTCAAACCTGCTGTTTCGAAATACATTTTTTTCTGGGAGTTCTAATTTGTAAATTTTCCAGTAGACCTCAAAGCATAGTTCTATTAAGAAGTCTGACTATGTAGTTCATCCTGACCTTGAACTTATTATTATAACCCATGCTGACCTCAAACTTGTAGTGATCCCTCTTGCCCCATCCTCACTCAAGCTGGGATTATTGATTGTGTACCACCATGCCTGGCATTTTTAAAAGGATGCACAGATATTATCAGCCAGGGATGAGAATGACTAGTAAACATTATGTATATAACCCCTTATGTTGTGGGGGGAAATGAGAAGGACCCTAGACACAAATTTGTGATGTTCAGTCATACCTTCAGTGTTTTTCATAGGTGCTGTTTTACTCATCACCTCTGAAATGTAAATGGTAATGAAGTTTTGTTAGTTGCATAAATAAATACTAATCTCTGTTGATTTTTCTCTCCCTTACTTCTTTCAGATCCCGGTCTCCAGAATCTCCCCCATGCCGTTTCCTACATCGCAGGTCTCTCCCAGGGCTCGTTTTCCAGTCTCCATCACTAGTCCTAGCAGAACAGGAGCCAGGACTCTTGCAGACATCAAAGCAAAAGCGCAGCTGGTCAAAGCACAGAGAGCCGCAGCCGCCGCTGCTGCCGCAGCCGCTGCAGCCACCTCTGTTGGAGGGACCATTCCTGGACCAGGCCCTGGGGGTGGACAAGGTCCTGGAGAGGGTGGTGAAAGGAAAACCGCTGGAGGAGGAAGTCCAGGCTCAGACAGAGTCAGTGCAACTGGAAAGGTCCCTACATTGGAACTGGCAGGAGCTGGAAGCAGGGGAGGTCCGAGAGAGCTTTTACCCTGCTGTCCAAACACTCACCCCCAATCTGAGATCAAGACCTCAGGCCAGACACAGCCTCATAGTGTCTCTGGAGCACAACTACAGCAAGCCCCCTCAGTGCCTCCAGCACCTACCTTCAGTGGAACATGCACAAACGCCACATCACCAGCCCATGTAGAGAAATTGAGTCGTGAGAACCTGGACCCCACCAGAGCAGCCACAGTGACCTCCCCTAGCCACCCACAAAGGCTCGGTGGTTGTGGGCAGGAGAGAGCTCCTTCTCCAAAAGGGCCTGCTGTGATCTCAGGAGCTTCCCCTGTTTGTTTTGTAGCTGATGGCACAGTTGAACCCAAAGCATTTTCTAGTAAGAATATACCAACCCCTTCAGCCTCAACAAAGACAACTGCTAATTCTTCAGTGGATATGACTCCCTCCCCTTTGACGTCTTTATTGACAACAGCTATTTTAGAAAAGCTTCCTGTACCCCAGGCCAGTGTAACTGTAGCATCTACTGGATCAGCTCCATACTCAGCAGCTTCTAGCCTTAAAACCCCAGGAACTTCTGCAAATATGAATGGACCCATTTCAAGATCAAGCTCTAGTATTCCTGCTAATAATCCTTTAGTTACTCAGCTTCTTCAGGGCAAAGATGTTCCCATGGAGCAAATTCTGCCTAAGCCTCTCACCAAAGTTGAAATGAAAACTGTTCCACTGACTACAAAAGAGGAAAAGGGAGTAGAGCCACTCACAGGTCCCACCGGCACAGAAAATAACAACAGAGAAGAAGTTAATGATAGACAGTCTCATCCAATGGTTATCCAACAGCTAGGGAAGACCTTGCAAAGTAAACAGCTCCCCCAGGTTCAAAGGCCCCTGCCGCTTTTTTCAACTAAGGATCTGAGGGACCCTAGCATTGATACACACCAATACCAAGAAGGACTAAGTAAAGCAACCCAAGATCAGATCCTTCAGACTCTGATCCAGAGGGTTCAGAGGCAGAATGTTCTCTCATTTGTGCCTCCCTCTCAGTTTAACTTTGCTCACTCAGGTTTCCAGTTAGAGAACATCTCCACAAGCCAGAGGTTCATGCTGGGTTTTGCTGGCAGAAGGACATCCAGACCTGCCATGTCAGGTCACTACTTACTTAATATTTCCACCTATGGCCGAGGTTCAGAGAGCTGTAGGAGGAGCCATTCTGTAAACTCCGAAGATCGTGTTTGTCTAAGTAGCCCCACTGAAGCCTTGAGAATGGGATATACAGATTGTAGAAACCCAACAGGCGATAGTAGCAGTAGCAAAGATGATGAAACTGATGAAGAGAGCACTGGTGATGACCAGGACTCTATGTTGGTGAAGGAAGAGCCTCAAACCTCCCAGAGCTCTGGCAAGCATGATGCAAGTTCAGGACCCCAAAATAGACAGACCCCAGCCACCAGTGATTGTTTAGCTAACAAAACTATGAAGGCTGAGACACCAGTGAATGAGCACACCACTCTAAGCAAGGAGAATTACCTGTTCCCTAGAGGCCAAACATTTGATGAAAAGACCTTAGCCAGAGATTTTATTCAGGCAGCACAGAAACAGATGGCTCAGGCCGTTAGAGGTAAGGTGATGTGCAGCAGCCCTGAGCTGTTCAATTCTACTCTTTCTCTGCCTGCAGACAGTCCCACCCATCAGCCTCTACTCCTTCCACCCCTGCAAACTCCAAAGTTGTATGGAAGCCCCACACAGATAGGGCCAAGCTACAGAGGCATGATCAATGTCTCCACCTCATCAGAAGTGGACCATAACTCTGCGATACCAGGTAGCCAGGTGTCTAGCAATGTAGGTGATGTCATGTCCTTCTCAGTGACTGTCACGACCATCCCTGCTAGCCAAGCTATGAATCCCAGCAGCCATGGCCAGACAATTCCTGTTCAGGCCTTCCCTGAAGAGAACAGCATAGAAGACACACCTTCAAAATGTTACTGCAGGTTGAAAGCCATGATCATGTGCAAAGGTTGTGGAGCTTTCTGCCATGATGATTGCATTGGTCCCTCCAAACTGTGCGTCTCCTGCCTTGTTGTTCGGTAATGAGTTCTGTAAGACACACTAAAGGGAATGGGAAAGATAGAGTTAACAAGATGTGTTTTCTGCATCATTTTGGAATCACAGAAATAGGGATTTGGTTGTCTTAAGAGACAAATGTTAAATCAGGAATACAGAATTCAGGTCTTCTACATTTTAGAGGAAGCGCACCTTGTATAGTAAGTCTAAGTCAAGCAAGACTTTGTGAATTTGTGACAAGTTTGCACTTAAAAAATCATGTAAATATGTCACATTTTGTTTAACATTTTTCCAGTGTTTAGATAATGATGTATTCTTTAAATTCTGGTGTATGTTCCATTTCATGTGATACTGAGAAAAGCTGAATGCCATGTGTGGTGAAAGGAAGCTGTCTCCCTTTTTACCTTTCTTGAAACTTAGGGAAAGGAAGGAATGGTCTCTAAAGAATTAACCATTCATGCTGTTGATGTCTTCACAGTCCGGCTGTAGGTTACTCATAGATTATTTGGCCTTTGCAAGATTTGGATTCAGGATTTGCTCAATTGCTTTACCTTAGCTGGAACCTTCTTGAGTGGAAAGTTTTCACAAGTTATTAATGGAACAGTCAGTGTTTTTTTCTGGCCCAGAAAGCCCTGACTTGGTTCTTGGCTTTCAGAAACCAGCACCATCATCTTGCAAAGCCCTGCTACTCCCTAATCCCACTCTGTAGTTTGAAACAATAAATGTGGTCTATGAAGGGGGTACCTTCTAGGGCTCCACAGTGTGACTGTTCTGTGCATGAAGACAGTACAGTACTACCCCTGCACTTTGTCATTCATGGGAGTACACAGATGGGAAGACAAGGGTTAGTGATGGGATGAATTGAACATGTGTATCATGATTAGATAGGTTGCAAAATTGCAGAAACTGTTAAACTGAGTGTAACGAACTTTGGAAGATGATTTAGTTCTAGAAACAAGGTTGTAGTGTTTTTACCTACTTTCCTAACCCATTACCTCGTGTTACACAGTCAGCTGTTATGGTAGATAGATGAATTCCTTAGCTTGTTGGCTGCTTCTGTTCAACTTGCTTTGACCTCCCAGGCATCTGAGGAGGATGGAGCAATCTTATTAGATCTTACACACACATGTATGTGTACACATACATGATATAGGACACTTCACTGTTTTTGAAAATCTGTCTACTGTTATAGAAATCCTGCTCTCTCCACTAGGGATACCTGAGGTAAAAGGCTTCAGTAAATGGCTAAGGGATTATCTAGCAAGAAGGAAGGAAAGTTTATTCCAAAATTTTGTGGGGTTTTTCTTTCTTTTTTTTTTTTTCTTTAAATCTCTAGTGATTAAAAATTTTTGAATACTTACTTTTTAGGTCATGATTAAAGAACACTTATTTTTAAAACCCGACAGTTAAGCTGGGCATGGTGACTCTTGCCTGTAATCCCAACACTTTGAAGGCTGAGACAGGAGGATCACTGGGAATTTAAGGCCAGCCTGAGCTAGTTGAAGGCAGCCAGAACTACATGGTGAGACCCTGTCTCAAAAAAACCCTACAGTTTACCCAAATTTGGCATTAAGATTCTTAATGTGCACATTTTTGCTTATTTATTTCAGTTCTCCTAATTTGAGGTGTATGAAATATTATTAGTGTAACCTGGTACAGTTTTGTTTATACTTAATATTTTAGAGTGATTCTCACAAAATCAGAACAGTTTAAACCTGTTTATTAAGTCACATTCCAGACCAGGAGAAAGGAGATAATAATCTTGTACCCCTAGACTGCTGCCCACCATACACCCTTTCTAATGCTTTCCCGCAGTGTCTGCTCCAAACTCTGTAACAAACTCCAGTTTGTCATTTTTCCTTTCTGACTTTGTTGTGACTCCAGGCAAATGCAGGATTAATAACTGTTCCAGTTTTAAGCAAGACAATATGTTGTCCCTCAGTCTTCCCCTCTTCTTCTGACCCAGACATAGCTAAGAGATTAAAAAGACTTCAGGCATCCAGGGATAAGTTCTCCAGTGTGGAATCAGTAGGAAACAAACCAGGTTTGCCTCGCTCCCAGACTTTGAATACCCTGGGTAATCCCAGGGGTTTATTTTAAAAACCTGTTGATTGTCAGGCATGGTGGCAAATGCCTATAATCCCAGCAATAGCTGAGGCAAAAGGATTGCTGCAAGTCTGAGGCCAGCCTGAACTGTACAGCAAGACCCTGTCTCAAATAAAATAAAAATAATCTGTTGGTGAGGAGGACTTCTCTGTGCCCAGCCCCTCACATCCACCCCAGTGAAAGTGCTGAGTACAGGCCTGTGTACTCAAAGGTTGAATGTTTCAGAATTGGCACATGCTACACCTCAAGTTACCAGTTTGCTCTAATGAAAGTAATTTTTCTACTTCATGACTGCCAAAAAGGCTTTCCTCTGAATTTTGTATCTGAGATTGGATAGACTATGCAGGGCAAGAGGGCATCAGGGATTTTTAGTTCCACCTGAGAGGGGACCCCATGGTGGTGTGCTTGATTCTGGCCTTGCAGCTAGGTCCCAAGCTTTGCTTTCATGAGATTCTCTTAAGCAGTTCCTAGCAAAGTAGTTCCACTTAATTATACTTCAGAAACAAATCACCAGCTAGATAGATTGCTTCAGACTTTTATCTGATCAGAGAAGATACTCTTAGTTTGGTGATAAATTAAGTCCCAATCCACTTAATAATATGTTTAAAACAGTGGTTTCAAGTTGAAAGTCATTTAGTTTATAAACAAGGAAAAAGTGACAGTTTGGCCTTTCAGTACTCCATCCAGTACCTTTAAAGCAATTTCTGTCTTAGTTGTTTTACCTTTAAATTCATTCTTAGGGCATTTGGTGGCATTTTACAGTGTTACAGCAGCCATGTCTGATGGATGTGTTTCCAGTATGCCCTCGTTAGCCTTCTGGTACCCTCTCACCCTGGCGAAAGCATTCATGATGTATCTTCTCAGTCCAATTAATGAATATTCCAAGTTGTCTAGTAAACAGAACCCGAATCCTAGGATTTTTGATTAATCAAAATTCTTCATCCCTTTAAGCAGAAATTAAAGCCCGATAATCTCGATTTGTTTACCTTGCTTCAGTTCCTTAGCCCCAATGTTGAAGCTATCTGTTGTATTCTATGTAACATTTCTAAGAATAAGAGCTGGCCAGTGGGAAATTTTCCTTGGAGTGGGGATAAGTATGCTTACATTGGCTGCGAAGACACAGATATTTTAGAGTTTATCTCAGATGTAAATAAATCGCCAAAGGAAGACCTGATTGCCTTCCAGGTGAGGTGCAATGTCATACATAGTAATGCCCTGTTACCATAGCAATTGCTTAGTATTGCCTTCTTCAGCCTTAGAGATCCTTTGAGAACTCTTTGGTTAAATGATTAGCCATAATTAGAGGTCTCTGGTCATCATACCGCTATCTCTAAAACTCACTATCAGTGAGCAGTGCCAGGATCGTTTTCTCATCTGTATCCCATCAACATCATACCAAGGAGGCGAAAGTCCCCATTACATTAACAACAGTGTGTTAAGTAAACATCTTGGCCCAGGATAATTTTGAACTCGTTTTATAGAATAGTCCAAAGAGACTGAGAAACATGATGGTAGGCAGGGTCCTCTCCTTCATGTTTCAATACCTGCATACCTATTGAAAGAAAACAGTAGGTAAGACGTTTCCTAAAATTGAAGCAATAGCTTCTTAGAGTCTTGGTTACTTTATTTTTTTTAATGCTTTACATTTGATACAACTATTAAAGATCAATTTTAAATATAGCTTTCCAGTAATATATTTTAAGTAATATATATTTTAATATCTATATAAAAGGTGACAGTGGTAGACTGAATTTCTCACATATGGTATGTGTAATGTAAGACCGCACTGTTAAGGTACACATTATTTCAAAGGAAGTTGCTCTAAAGATACTCAGATTATTTCCAAAAGATGCAATAAAGGGGATAGTTTTGGGATTTATTTTTTATTTTAAATGGATATTGACTTATTTACCACAAGCTGTTTCTCCCCTCTGGCTATAAGGTTTGTACAGACTGGTTTGGTAAATGCTAAACTTTTGTGTCTCTTGCCTTTTTCAAGGAATTGTTAACATTGGAATTGAGGGTATGTACAGAGAAGTTGGTGTCAACACCATTTAATAAGACATATTTTTTCACAAATATAGAAAAAAATCATTTTACATAAGAATTTTAAGTATTTGCAATAAATATGTATATAGATTGTATGTATTCATATATTATTTTTCATTTTATTATTGAGCAAAAGATAATTAAAAGTGACATTAAAACCTTGGAGTTTTTGGTGAATCTTGAGGTCTGACATACACCTTAGAGTGGCGGGGGAGGCCCTCAGTTGTTGCCTTATATTGTACGGGAAGGTTACTACAGACCTTGTGGAAGGGACTAACATGAAGAATTGGGTGACAAATCAGTGTAGTGCATTTCTTTCAGAACTTAAGTAAAAACATTCTTCTTTGTGTCTCCATGCTTGCCTCCTGAATCTGTTCCCAAAAGTAAAGAAAACAGATGTTACTGGAAAAATGAAAAGCTCATAGGAAATTTCTTAAATGTACCCATTATTCGCCTCTAAACAAAATAAGGAAATATTTGGGGGGGGTATTTTGTGTTCTTTTTCTCTTTGGTGATTAATAATTTATTTGCAGAGGTCTGGTGATAGTGGCATAGCCCCTGCCTGGCAAGCACAAGGTCCTGAGTTCAGTCCCCAGCACACAATAACAAAAAAATAGACATTCCCTGCTACCATGTTCCAGGCCTGGTATATGTGAAGAAACTCATGAAGATACAGAGAATACAATTTCTGTTTCTAAGTTCTATGAGTAGTGAATTTCTCAGAGAAAGAAATAGCCATAGTTATAGTTATGTCCTGCTTGACTGATGGAGAGATTGAAGAGCTAAGACAACTGTGAACAGAATTATCTATGCCTTGACTAGATTCTGTTTCAGCATTTGACACTTGAATTTTGAATTCCTTTGTGTCAGGAAGAGCAGTTATGAAAATAAGGACTAAGCCAGACATTAATGGAAGTTGATTGTCCCACACCTAGGTTGCTAATTCAACAACTCATTTGTGGTTGTAGAATAAATACTTGATTTTAGAATGTGAGGGGAGCAAAATGATACCAAGATAGATGGTTTTTGGAAATCAAGGCATGTATCCTCTTTAAACATGAATGCTGTATAGATGCATTGATGACCTGAAAGGAAAAGTGGCATGGTGAGATTTTTGGGAATATGAGACAGGGTCTCCCTATGTAGTTCAGGCTGGCCTTGAGCTTGTGAATCTCCTGCCTCAGCTTCACAAGTGCAGGGATTACAGGCATCACCATGTCCACATCACGAATGTATCTTGATATATGAAACTGGCTTGTTGTAGTTCATTAGTTCTCCCCCAAATTGCTCAACTCCCATTTTCACAGAAAAATATTTTGAAAAGGATACCAAGCTGTGTTTAAAAAAAAAAAAAAAAAAATTCTGAAAAGGAAGGGCTAGGTAAAGATACGGATTAGGAGATGAGAATGGTAATACTCCGTTGGATTCTAAGGTATCAGAAACTTTGCAATGCCCAACAGGGTCATATATCCAGTTGGCATTAAGAATGAACTAAATTGTTTTTCAAAAATAGGGATTTCAAACATCCAGGTAACAAGATGTTGGAAATAGTTCAGCAGTCCAAGAGAACAACATACTGTCTTAACTGAAAAATGCACTGTTTCTGGAGCCGGTGAAACTGCTCAGCAGCCTAAAGCACCCACTTAGGCAAGCACAGCTGCAGCTGTTTGATCCCCAG